ACTTTTTTTAGTTCATTTCATCTATTCCCCTGGTTTTAAATTCTAGCTATATGCTATGCCTTTTAACATTATAACTCAAAACCTGACTCCTCTCTTGAACTCCAAATTTATTCATCCCACAACTTAAAGGGACATCCTCATTTGGATATGTAATAGACATTCCAAAACTAGCATGTCTAAAACACTGATTCTACCACCCACCCCCGCCAACCTGTCTTTCCTCCAGGATTTCTCATATAGCTTCAATATATATCCAGTATTTGAGCCCAAAACTTAGAAATTACTCTCAATTTCTCTTTTTTCCATCCCCCTCTGTTCTTTCCATCTCCCACACATCCAACTTCACTCTAGGGATGTGCCCTGAGCGGTGTAAACCAATCACAATAGTACCATACTCCTTGCTAGTGACCAGGATCCTAGGCCAAAATCAATCTGCATAAAAGGGGTCAGAGTTTAGGAATGTCATGTGTCTGAATGCAAGTCAATGGTACAATGAGGTAAAGATTTTTGGAAACATTTCTTTCTTGAGGATGTCAGTGAAGACACATGCAGCTCACATTACCACTATCCACTCTATGTGCATACTCAAAAAGAATCTGCCTTAGGATAAAGCTGATTTTCTGGATGGCAGAAGGAAGAGGAGAAAAGAACATGACTCATAGATGGCACGACTGATTACCTGCAGCAAGGGTCCCTGACCCCCGGGCCATAGACTAATACCTGTCCATGGACTGTTAGGAACCAGGCCACACAGCAGGAGGTGAGTGGTGGGCGAGTGAGTGAAGCTTCATCTGTATTTATAGCCGCTCCCATTACTACCTCAGCTCTATCTCCTGTCAGATTAGCGGTGGCATTAGATTTTCATAAAAGCGCAAACCCTACTGTGAACTGCGCAAGTAAAGGATCCAGGTAGCATGTTCCTTATGAGAATCTAATGCCTGATGATCTGTCACTGTTTCCCAGCATCCTCAGATGGGACTGTCTAGTTGCAAGAAAACAAGCTCAGAGCTCCCACTGATTCTACATTATGGCGAGCTGTATAATTATTTCATTACATATTGCCGTGTAATAACAGAAACAATTGCACAATAAATGTAATGAGCTTGAATCATTCCAAACCATTCCCCTTGCCCTCACCCCACCCTACCCCACTCACCAAGCTGTGGAAAAATTGTCTTCCATAAAACCAGTTCCTTGTGCCAAAAATGTTGGGACTACTGACCTAGAGAGCACACAATTCTGAAACTCACTCTGTATCTGGATTTCCAATTCTGTGAGACAATAAATTTTCTTATTATTTAAGCCAGAAATTTTGGATTTTCTGTTTCTGCAGTTGAAAGCTACTTAATAAATCCAAAGAAGGGGAAGCCAACAAAGGGAACCAAGAAGTAACAATCAGTAAGGCAGGAAGCAAACCATATACTGTCTTAGAAACAAGAGAACCAAGTGTTTCTTGGTAAAGAGAAAAATCAACTACATCCGATATTGGAAGGCTGAGTAAAAGAAGGACAAGAGGTGACCACTGTATTGGCAACATGATAACCTGGAAAACCGCGGTTTCAGAGGAGTGGTGGAGACAGTACCTTCTCTGGAGTTAGTTGAGGAAATGGGCCACAGGGAATTGAAATCTTTTAATTTCGACTTCTGAGAAGTTTTGCTATGAAGGGTAGCAGAGAAATGAACAGTAACTAAAGGAGAATAAGGGGTCAAAGCAGGACTTTTTAAAGACCAAATATCTTCGAGCAATAGAAATGATTTATCAAGAGATAGATCATGCAAGAGAGAGAAAAATAATTGCAGGAACAAAGACCAAGGCCTTTTGAAAAGCCACAAGGAGACAGGATCCACTGGATAGGCAGAAGGTCTTGCCTTTAGAGAAGCAGGGATTTCATTTGCTGCAATAGGAGGAAAGGGCAGGGAACAAGTATAGTTGTGATTAACGTGGTAAAGTTAGGGAGTTCCCACCCGATTGTTTCTATTTCTGTCAAGAAGTGGCAAATGACCAGCTGAGATATTGGAGGAGTTTTTTAATGTGTTTTTAATAAACAGGGTGCCACTGTTGCCCAGGCTGGAGTACAGTGAGGCTCACTGTAACCTTGAATTCCTTGGTTTAAGCAATCCTCCCAGTTTGGCCTCCCAAAGCACTGAGATTGCAGGCTTGAGCCACCAAACTTGGCCTACTGAAGAAGGGGTTTTGAAGGGAGAAGCAAAGGTACCAAACAGCAATTTCAGAGAGTCGGAAAGTAAACAAATAAGGGGAGTCTTAGAAGGTTGAAAGGATTGCTCAGTAGTCTTGAGTGCCCATTTTAGGTCTGTGGTCATGAATTTACTAATAGACATGATTTTTCTGCAGCTATTTTCAACTGTTCAGAGACAGACAGGTACAGATTGAGAGTTTTCAGAATTTACATGAAGGAGGTAGAATAACAAGGAAGTTAAGTGAGTGATTATGGTGTTAGATCACGCAACCTAGGCTGAGTAAGGAAAGAGGGGAGGATCTGAGGGTAGGTGACAGCTAGTGAAGATGCTAGTGGTCCACCAAAACCCATTATCTCTTCTGAATGCAAGACTACACAGCACACAGCTGGCCAGACACACTACATTTCCCAAGCTCCCTTGCTTATTATGTGGCCATATGGTGAGGACCTCTCCAATGGAACATGAGGGGTAGTGCTGTGTGCTTCTAATAGAGAGTCTTCTCCACACTCACCCTCTCCCTATCTCAATCCAAGACAATACCACAGTGAATGGCAAAGAAACGAGATGAAAGATATTCGGGTCCTTCAGGCTGTGTGTGGCAGAACCACTCACTGACTTTTAACATTTGCCTGAACTGTGCCCTAAGAGAGAGAGAAAAAAAAAACTCCTGTCTTGTCTAATCACTGCATTGTAGGGTCTTTTAGCTATAGCAGTTTAACTTTACCCTAACTTGGGTCAGGGACTAGAGGCTTCAGTGGGGTCTAAGATCCTCTGTAGTGGAGGTAGTAAAGAGAGTGAGGTGAAAGGCTAAAAGGGAGTGCTCAGAGTGGAGTGTATGGGTTATGAAATGGAAACGTCAGAGGTGAGCAGTTAGAGGAGATAAAAAAAAAAAAAAAAAAAACCTAAGATAGGACCAATAGAATGTGTGGCTAAGGTGGAGGAAAGTGCAAATTAAGTTTCAGAAAATATAGGAGACTGGCCCAGGATCACACATGAATGAGCAGAAGGGCCAAGATTCCCACTGAGACCCGAGTGACTTCACACTCCATGCTCTTTCCACTCTGCCAAGTCTTCAGGTACAATCAAACCACCTGGTTCAAAGAAAAGGCTGCAGGTGAAGTGTTTCTATGAAAAAGGGTTAGTTCAGCCCCACGAACATGTAATACAACTTCTCCTGGAGTAATGGGTAGTACTCTACAAGAACACAATTACAGCCTGTACCTGACTTAACAATGGCTCAACTCAGGATTTTTTTACTTTACAAGAGTGCAAATGCAATACACATTCAGTAAAGTCCTTAAGATGGAGTTATGCCCAGATAAACCCATCATCAGATATCTTCGACTTACAATGTGTTTCTCTGGACATAACTCCCTAAGAAGTCGAGTAGTATCCATATTGTTAATACGTAATTAGAATCACCATGCTTTGGGACCCTGTATTTTTCATGATCTACTATTTCATCCATCCAGAGGCCCTGTGGCAGCACTCACGTCCTCCTCTTCTCCTCTGGATGACCACCACTGATTCACCTGGTCTATGAATCATCATTGACTCCTCTAGTCTCTATTTCCTCCAAGCCATCTTCTAAATTGCTTCAAGTTACCTTGTGAAATTCGTACTATGCCTTCCACCACATAAAACACTAGCAACCTGCACAAGACCTCTCTTCCCGATATCCCCGCAGTCTACTGTTCAGTCACATTTTCCCTGTCTCCCTCGCCCCAATGTATGCTGCAGCTGGATTCACTTATTTACCATTTTCATACTCCTGTACCTTTGCATATGCTGGGCCTCTCCTTGAAATATCCTCAACCCTTGGTCATACAACACACTCCCATTTATCCTACTCCAGTGCTCTTCCCCAGTATGCTTGTCCTTCTCTACCCTTCCTTCATCTCCCTCCACTGTCCCTAGACAGACACAATTAAAGCTATTATTGTACTGTATTATAATAATCTCTATTTGTCTCCTCATTCATTCTTGGCATTCTGACACAGTTTCTACTTGACCCATAGTAGGTGCTCAAAACCTACACTGAAAGCTGAATGAGACTGCATTTAGCTGCTCCATTTTGATCACACTGAAATTAGATGAACTGTTTTTGTGGGTCTCAGCATTTTACACCACATTTATTATTTCCCCAAAGAAAGTCAGTCTGGACGGCAGAAGAAATACAAAGTCCAGCTGTTTGCATCCATGCCTCCTTTCATAGTGTGCTCTGGAACCCAACATTTCAAAGCTACCTTCAAAGTAAGATGTTACTAAACAAGCCTACTACACTACTGGCATTATGCAGATAAAACATAAACAGGCTGGCAAGAGTTGAGAATGTGACAGAGGATGTGGCTGGGGCCAGCAGGTGTTTATGGGGCAGCTGTGATGGCTCAGCCATCCAAGAACAGCCAGTCTGGTCTCTGTAGGGACACCTGCGGCTTGCCAGCTCCACTACCCAAATTATAGTACGTGCTACACAGTATTTGTTTCTGCTATGGCCAAGGAGAGCTGCTCACTCTTCCACCTGCATGACACAGATGGTACAAATGGGAGCATGCTTCCACACGAGGATGTGCAATTACACCCAGTTCCTCCAGCTGTGACAATTACCAAGAGAAAACCCGATGGAAGGAAACAATCCTGGCAGGCAACTGTCTTCCCTGCTGGCACTTACCACTTAGTTCTCCCAGGAACAGCTGCTGCATCCATGGCCTCTCATCTCTTTCACAGTCCTTCCTGGAACCCAAGTACTTGAAGAGCTTTGGGTATGATAGGAACATAAAGCAGTCATTGAACCACATATATTTAAGTATGAAAATACCATGGCTTTATTTTTCTCTTATAAAGGTAGCCGTGCTTATTGGCTAAATGGAAAGGATGTACATAGTTCTCATGAGTAAACATGATGTAACTGTTTTCAGATGCAAACCATAATGCCAAAGAAGTGACATGAAGGGGGTAAAAGCGTAATGCTTTCATCTTCACAGCAATAAAATGCAAAGTTAAGCAAACATGAAATGGACTCAATTAATGCTGGGCATTCCCACAGGGAAAAGCCAAGAAGATATTATATCAATCAATAAAAGTATTGTATACAGTTTAAAAATTTCATTAGGTTGAGCCACCCTCACTCCTCTCTCTGGCTCTCTCCCATCTGAGGTATACCAGGCTGGAACTAACAAAGCTAGTAGTCAGGAGCTTTTGCTTTGGAGTCCACTGAGATAAGAGGGTGACAAAGTCTTGGAAGACCAGAAAACCTGGCTCTGGTGAGGCACCTACGTGCAGCAGTGTCGCATATGGAAGTTGACAACATACTCAGCATTAGTCCTCTGCACAGAAATAGCAAAAGGCTCAAAAGGGTGAAAGGTGAAGGCAACAAGGCGTCGCACTGTGTGGTTGATGGGGCGGCCCAGTAACCCTGCCTGGATCTCAAATTTGAGCAGGCCGGAATCCCGGGCATAGAACCTAAAAAGAACAAGGACAGAGACAGAGAAAGAAGGGACAGTATTGATATTCAACATCAAACTGAAATGTAGACAGCAGGGGAATATGGCAACTCATTATTCTACCTTATTAATATAATCTCCTCTTATATCAGCCCCAGGTTAGCAGAACTATAAAAACACCTTGGTATGATCAGCTTATTTAGTGAAGAATAATTATAAATCTAACTATGTTGTACTGAGTCACTGGTCATTTCTCTTTCCTGAGATGACTCAGTTTCAGCCTTAATTACAGCCTTTCCACTTCCAGATGCTCCTGCCTCAAGATTGTCTAGGCCAGGGCTAGAAATGAAATGCAAGCCACACGTGTAATTTTAAATTTTCATGTAGCCATACTAAAAAAGGTAAAAATAAAAAAGGGAAATTAATTTTAATAATACATTTTATTTACTCCAATATATATAAAATATAATTTCAATCTATAATCAATATCAAAATATTAGTGAGATATTTCTCTTTATTGTGGAAATCTAGTGTGTATTTGACACTTAAGCACACCTCAACTTGAACTAGCCACACTTTAAGTCCTCAATAGTCACACGTGGCTAATGGCTACCATATTAGACAGTGTGAATCTAGGCTCACCTTTTGCATTTTTCATTTTTAAGAATAAATCTTTTAAAAGGTTCTTTTTCATGCATAGAAACAAAATACTAAATAGTGTTTAATTTTTCATCTAGTACGCAAGACTAAAGATGCTTCCATCCCTCCCAGTACTTAAATGTCTTTACCATATGCAAAATAAATGCCCTGTGGTTTGGGGAACTACAGGTGATGAGTGAGTGGAGGCTGAACGGCAGAGGCAGATGTGGGTGGGGAGGCAGGTGGGGATGGAGCATCAGGGAGGATTCTAGAAAATAAAAAGCCTTGAATTAAAGATACCTATAATCTCCTTTTGGAAATCCAATATGTAAGCAGACCTAAAGATAATACCTTTTGACTCCACAATCCTATATCCAAAAATTTATATCTTCAGAATTTGATTTAAATGAAATAACTAGTACATGAATAAAGAGGACTGCTATGGCATTTGTTTTAATGTAAAAATGCAGAAAGAGAATAAATCCTCAGTAATGGGGGAATGGTTAAATAAATCATGGTACATCTACTTGACAGAATAATATACCATCATCAGGACTGTAATTGTAAGGACTGTACATAATTACAACATAAAATAATGTTTATAAAATAAAGACAGACTATAAAAAATGATGTTAACCGTGATTACAACTGTGTAAATTTATATTCACACAGTTGTAATCACGGTTAACATCATTTAAATATAAATATGCATATTGACAAAGACTAGACTGGAATGTACAACAAAGATATTGGAGTAACAGTATTCTCTCTTCAAATGCCCTTAATAGCCTTATATTTCTCATTTTAAATTAAAAATATAAAGAAAAATTATTAGAGAAACCTCTTTATTCAGGAACAATGGCATTTCCAGATTTTAGATTAATCTTCTCCAATTAGAAAGGTAGGAAAGTCAGAAAGGAGAGAGAAATGCATCTCATGGTACTTGACTTACACCAGATGAGGCCCATCTTTTTTATGCGTAAAAAGCACATGGCCTTACTCCCACAATCCCCAAATACAAAGGGATTGTAAGTTAAAGTAAGTTGTTTGAGCTTCTAAATCCACTCCCAGTTTACAGGACATATGGGTAAATAAGAAATACAGTAAATACTACCCCAGGGATGCAATAAGCAAAATCTAGAATTTGGAGAACGCTAGAGGGCAAACAACCTGGTTTCTTCAACAATTTCATTGCAAAGAAAATAGAAGAGGGAAGAAGAACCTATGAAAAAAAAATGACTGGGCCAAGAGGGGTGGCTCAAGCCTGTAATCCCACCACTTTGGGAGGCTGGGCAGGTGGATCACCTGAGGTCAAGAGTTCAAGACCAGCCTAACCAACATGGTGAAACCCCATCTCTACAAAATTACAAAAATTAGCTGGTGTGGTGGCAGGCAACTGTAATCCCAGCTACTCAGGAGGCTGAGGCAGGAGAATCGCTTGATCCCCAGAGAGGGGACTGCAGTGGGCTGAGATCGCACCACTGCACTCCAGCCTAGGAAACAGAGTGAGACTCTGTCTCAAAACAACAACAACAAATAAATGACTGAAGGGAACAATGACCAAATCCCATGCATGAACCTTGTTTGGATCCAGTGCAAACAAATAAACTATAAAAAGAATATTTACAAGACAACAGGGATATATAAAAACTGACTATATATTTGAAGATACTAAAAAGTTTTTGTTAATTTAAGATGGGATAATGGTGTTACTTGTTTTACTAGGATAACTTGGATTTCCTTTAAAATAACCCAGGACAAGGGTTGGAAGGGGAGGGAGCAGTGGTATTGATGGAAATAGGTGAGAAAAGAGTGCCAATGAACTGATAATTGTTGAAGTGGGTGATGGGTACACGAAGGTTTATCACACTCTTCTACTTTTTGTATATGTTAAAAACTCTCCATAATTAAAAAAAATTTACTAGTTTTTGGAACTTGACTAATTTCTCAAAAAAAATTATAAATGGTGATTAATTATACAGAATATGTCACACAGCCCCATTTAATACACAATGAGGCTGGATGATGAAATATATCTACGATAAAGCTCCAACTACCACTGTTTTTTTTTTTTTTTTTTTTTAGGAAGGGAGGGAGGGAGAGAGGAAGGGAGGGAGGGAGGTAGGGAAGGAGGGAAAGAGGGAGGGAGGGAGAGAAGGGAAGGAAGGAAATCAAGCAATGAGAGAGACATTGCTGACCTGGATCTAGAGGTCTACAAGTTGATTCCTTTTTTTTTTTTTTTTTTTTTTTTTTTTTTTTTTTTGAGAAAAGGAAAGAAAAAAAAAGGAATGAAGGAGAGGAAGAAAGAGGAAGAAAAAGAGGGAGAGAGAACGGAAATGTTGCTTTATTCTAAAAAAATGGGTATTAATAATGGCCAATCAATGTTTCATTTAAACCTATGAGTAGGTGTGATGTGGTATTGACAAGAATGTATATTTTGTGTATTTGAAGTGGAGAGCTCTATAAATATTTATTAAGTTTACTTGTTCCGGATCTGAGTTTGAGTCCTTGATATCCTTATTAATTTTCTGTCTCATTGAGTCTAAGACTCTATGTGTCTGAGTGTTAGGATCATTAGCTCTTGTTGTTGCATTGATCCTTTTACCACTATATCTTTGTTGCTTTAAAATTTTATTTTATCAGATACGAGAATTGCAACTCCTGCTTTTTATTTATTTATTTATTTATTTTTGCTCTCCATTTGGTTGGTAAATCTTTCTCCAACCCTTTGTTTTGAGTCTTTGTGTATCCTTGCGTGTGAAATGGGTCTGGATGTAACATACCGTTGGGTTTTGGCTGTGTCTTTTGATTGGGGGATTTAGTCAATTGAAATTTAGGATTACTGCCATTTGATGTTAACTGGCTGCTTTATCCATTCGTTGATGTAAATTCTTCTTTATGTTGATGCTCTTTACTTTTTGGTATATTTTTAGAGAGGCTAATACTGGTTGTTTCTTTCTATGTGTAATGCTTTGTTCAGAAGCTCTTGTAAAGCAGGCCTGGTGGTAATAAAATCTCTGAGTACTTGCTCGTTCATAAAAGATTTTATTTTTCCTTCAGTTGTGAAGCTTAGCTTTGCTGGATATGAAATTCTGGGCTGAAAGTTCTGTTCTTTAAGGATATTGAATATTGGCCCCCACTCTCTTCTGGCTTATAGAGTTTCTGCTGAGAGATCTGCTGTAAATCTGACAGGCTTCCCTTTGTGGGTAACCTGACCTTTCTCTGGCTGCCCTTAGTATTTTCTCCTTCATTTCAATCCTGGTGAATCTAACAATATATGTGCCTTGGGGTTGCTCTTCCTGCGGAATATCTTTGTGGTGTTCTCTGTATTACCTGGGGTTGAATATTGTCCTGCTTTGCTAGATTGGGAAAGTTTTCCTGAATAATATCCTGAAGAATATTTTCCAGCTTGGATTCATTCTCTCCGTAGCATTCAGGTACACCTATCAAACATAAATTTGGTCTTTTCACATAGTCCCACATTTCTTGGAGACTTTGCTCATTCCTTTTTATCCTTTTTTCTCTAATCTTGTCTTCTCATTTTATTTCATTAAGTTGGACTTCGACCTCTGATATCCTTTCTTCTGCTTGAACAATTTGAGTGTTTAAACCTGTGCATACTTCTCAGAGTTCCTGTATTATATTTTTCAGTTCCATTAATTCACTTACATTCCTCTCTAAGTTGTCCATTCTCAGGATTTCGTCAAACCTTTTTTCAAAGTTCTTAGTTTCTTTACATTGGGCTACAACATGTTCTGTTAACTCACAGAAGTTTCTATTATCCATCTTCTGAAGCCTGATTCTGTTAATGGGATGTGCTCATTCTGCATCAAGCTTTGTTCCCTTGTTGGTGAGGAACTGTCTGTCATCCTCTTTAGAGGGAGAGGTGTTCTGATTTTGAGTATTCTCAGCCTTTTTACGCTGGTTTCTTCCCATCATTGTAAATTTATCCACCTGTCGTCTTTGTAATTACCAATTTTCAAATTAGGTCTCTGAGTGGACGTCCAGGTTGTTAATTCCCAGGGCCGAAATATGAGTGACCCACTGCGCCGGCCAAAACAGCGGCGTTAAGACTTATGGTGCTTTTCTGCCCAGGAATCTCCAGTCTGGCTTCCTTCTTGAGTCTGTAATAGGCGACTCTGCCTTCCCGGAGCTCCAAACCTTGGTCAGAAGGGGAACCAGTCCCGTTTACTCTGCACCAAGAGCTGTCGCACCGAGGTGCTGGCACAACCGCTGCGCCAGCCGCAAGAGTCGCGCTGGCAACCCATGTGGCTCCTCCAAACCTCAGTCAGAAGGGGAATCAGTCCCGTTTACTCTGCACCAAGAGCTGCCGCACAAAGTTGCCGGCAAAACCGCTGCGCTGGCCAGAAGAGTTGCACTGGCAACATGTGGAGCTCCTCCACTGGGAATCTTCTGCTCTGTGAGCGACCAAAATTTGTTTGAAAGTGTGGCATCCAATTGTTCTCTGAGGTTTCACTGGGAGCTGCAATCCCGAGATGTTAGCGATCGGCCATCTTGGATCGTTCTCCTAACTACCACTGTTTCTATGTCAAAAAGACCTTCCAAGCTCCAGCTCAGAGCTCCAGGAACACACCCACCTTGAGGTAACTCCACTAGTGACAGTAATCCCAGCTCCTCCCCCTAGTACTATTACAACACACAGTTCCAAACATGGAGAGACAGACGGGTCTGTGAACTGGACTTCTGTGAGGAAAGAATTTCTTGTAAGGTCAGTTTCAAAGTTCCAACAATAACACAGTAGTCTACACTCCAAAATTCCTCCAAGAGAGGAAGCATGAGTTTCTCCTAAACCTGCCAGCAGTTCCCCAAATTGTCTCTGCTATTTTTTCTATTAGGTAACATGGTAGGATAAAATAATATGTGTCAGATGCATAATTATAAATCTCAATGACCAAAAACTATTATGGAATGGCATTAGATGAGTAAATGGGAAAGCACAGCTTCCTCCCCTGGAAACCATTAAAAGAGGACAACACTTATCTGAATTAGATGTTCTGATGAGAAGCAAGGAGTAGGAATAATTTATGAGACTAGTACCTAAATGATCAAAGCACTAACTGCATTATAGAAATAGCCTGCCTTTTCAGTCCTACCCATGAGTACAAGTGGAGACAGTCACAATGAAATGATGTCCAGAAGAAGAGAAGAAAACAGGCCATCTGTAGCCCTTGAGCAATTTGTAGCTATAGCAGAGACACTGTACCTGATTGGGTGATCTCCACAAGTCTTGGGCCGCTCCATGACAGATACCCACTTGTCATCATAACTGAAGAGGGACAAATCCAGATAGGGGCTACCACTGTAAGACTGAGCACTGATGGGGAGCTGACCCAGCAGCCGGCGTACCGCCTCTGTGTGCCCTCCATACTTGGCATTTATAATAGTGTCTTTGAACCTAAATAAAAGGATCAGTGAGGAAGGCTTTGTTAGTGGGTACACAAAGCTGTCTTGGATTTTAAATTGACAAATACATATCTAAGAACAACTCATTCTTTACATACACATTAAAACCTAGGTAATGAATTGAGACAGAACTCTCTCACACACACTACAAGTCTGGCCAGCTACAAATACTTTTAAAAAGCAAAACATATAACCACCCTATTATATGGATATAGAATTCTACATTGCAAACCACCCTTTTCATAGAATTCTGAGGACATGATTTTAATGACTTCAAGCTTTCAGTATTATTGATAAGTCTAATGCAATTATGATGACTTATTGTTTTTACATGTGAAATGTATGTTCTTTCTGCAAATTCCCTTTACCATTATCCTCTCTTTGCCTCTCTCCAGTGTCAGACTATTTTCTACATATCATTCTTTTGTGGTTTATTGAAGTACATCTCCACAGACTTCCTTAGAAAACGTACCTGAGAGGTAATCTTTCCAGACTTTACAAGTTTAAGAATGTCTCCATTCCACCCTATTATATGGATATAGAATTCTAACTTGCAAACCATCCTTTTCACAGAATATTGAGGGCATGATTTTAATGACTTCAAGCTATCAGTATTATTGATAAGTCTAATGCAATTATGATGAATTATTGTTTTTACATGTAAAATGTATGTTCTTTCTCAGAAAGTTTTTACAATATTCTCTTTATCCCCAATATTCCAAAATTTTCCAATGATATGCCTCTCAGTGCAGGTCTTTTTCATTGACTGAACTGGGTACTAGATGAATCCACTGGTGCAAGGGTAAAGATTTAATTTTCATCAGGGAAAAAAAGCCATGGTTTGTAGTGCTCGCTGATTTCTGTGGAGTAAATCTTTCTGCTATAACCAAGGTAGCAATGTGACATTACTGAATGTGCAGTTGTCAAAAAATGAGCAGTAGCACATTATTAATAGTATTTATACCATATAGATAAAATAGATGCAAATAACCACAAGAGCCTAAGTAAGGAATAAATCAGAAATAATATTTAATAACAACTTTAACAATCAGCTTTCAAAAATTCCTGAAAGTTTTACAGTCAGGTCTCATGAGCCAGTACAAGCCAGCTCCAGCAATGGATGGTCCTGCCAATCTAAAAATGTATGTTCTTCAGTTCTGTGAAGCTATCTCATTATTTCTCCACTTTGTTTTCTCTACTGTTCCTTCAGGAATTAGCCAGATATTTGACCTCCGAGGCATATACTCTATTTTTTTTTTTAATGTTTCTCTTCTATGTCCCATCTCTTATGTATTTACTCTACTTTGTTGGAGGGTTCCTCCACTATATCTAACAAATTTTAAATTTTCAAAAATTTCTCATTGTTCTAGGAATGTTTTTGTTTTAAGAATTTCCACTGTTTTGGTGAGTGTAACACTGTTTCTTTTTTTTCTTTTTCTTTTTTTTTGAGATAGGTTCTCACTTTGTCACCCACATTGGAGTGCTGGAGTGTAGTAGCTTGATCGTGGTTCACTGCAACCTCCACCTCCCAGGCTCAAGCAATCTTCTTGTCTCAGCCCCTCCAAGTAGCTGGGACTCAGTTGCATGCCAACACACCCAGATAACTTTTTTGCTTTTTGTAGAGACAAGGTTTTGCCATGTTACCCAGGCTGGTCTCAAACTCCTGAGCTTAAGTCATCCATCCATGCTGACCTTCCAAAGAGCTAGGATTAAAGGCATAAGCCACCACACCAGGCCTGTTTGCTTACTCTTTATTCCTTATTCTGTTTGTTTTGTGTTGGTCTCTTGTAGAATAAAGGCTTTCCTTAAACGACTCATGATCCCTGGTGTCCATTTTTATTCCTGAACATTTATTTTGACCTATAAAAGTCCCAATTTCATTGATTTTTATCAGAATATTACCAGGAGAAGATTACTATAAAATTTAGCACTTAGAACCTTGTGTTCACAAGAAGTAAAAAAAAAAAAAAAATTTCAATTTATATATACATTATATTTTCAATGTAGCAAGTATGATTAGTGGTCAACAAAATATATTAGCATACAATTCTGTAGGGGAGATATAACAGATATACAAATTTGAGAATTAGAAGAAACAACGTAAAATTCCCAATTTTGGGTATACTTTGCTATGAACTTTTCATAAAAAATACTTGAATACCAAATTACTATGGTAATTAGCATCCTTTTGCTATATTTTAAAGTGTTGGAATAACTTTAAATGTCAGTGTTAAATATACGTTGAAAACAGCATCCTCTACAACTACTTAAATTTAGTAGTAACAGGAAAAGAAATTAAAAATTAACGTAAAAATATGTGAGGGTACCCACAGATTTTCAAAATCTTTTGACAGTAAAGAAAAACTCTGAAAATCACTGAGCTGGAATATACCACCATTCTCCTCAGTTCTCTTCTGGCACTTTCTGTAATTTTGTTTAATTCTAGATGTATTCCAAAGTAATTTTTGGAAAATAGTTTCCCTCAATTCCTAGATGACTTCATTCATTCAGCAAATAACTACTGAGCTCCTCCCACAGGGCAGACACTGCCCTTGGTGTTGTGATATGGAAGTAAACATAATAGAGAAAATCCCTGCCCTCATGGAGCTTATCATCGAATGACTTCTTTGATGTTTTGACTGAGTGTACCCCTCTTTTGTTGTTTCTGTTTTTTATTTTTGAGACAGAAACCTGCTCTGTCACCCAGGTTGGAGTGCAGTGGCACACTTATGGCTCACTGCAACCTCTGCCTCCCAGGCTCAAGTGATCCTCCCACCTTAGCCTCCCTAGTAGCTGGGTGGGACTACAGCCATGTGCCACCATGCTCAGCTAATTTTTTTTTTTTTTTTGGTAAAGACAGGGTTTTGCCATGTTGCCTAGGCTGGTCTAGAAACCTGGGCTCAAGTGATCCACCTGCGTTGACCTTCCAAAGTGTTGAGATTACACGCACAGGCCACCACACTCAGACTGTTACTTGTTAATTATCTGCTTAATTTTGAAGAAATTAAAAAAAAATTTTTATGCCAAAATGAAAAAAGCAAAATCTGACCCATGTTCTGCATCTAAAAATTCTTCTATACTGAAGAGATACTAGTAAGGCAGAAGATTTGTGTGAACCAAAGTAAACGGGAAATGCAAGTCAGTTGTCTGAAATCAATAGCCATCTATCTGTAATTGAGTACTATCTTTTTATGTAAGTATGATGCCACTGAATTATGATATTTGTTTTTCCCAGAGGCAGTAATGCTTATTCTGATTCATCCACTCACTATGGTCTGATCTATCTTTGGACCTAAAACAGGTATTTTCCATTACATTACTGTCTAAAGTAAGGGAAACAATTTAAGTATGTGAAATATGATAAAGCACTGCCTAACTAAAGTAAGATTCAGTTTAGGCCCTTGGCCCAAACTAAGTATTTGTTTCACAGTAATGCACCATGGCACTTATTAGAAGCTCTGGCTCATAGAAGAGCCTTGCTGACTGGTGCATATATATTTAGGGTGACCTAAGTGATCTGTAAAGGGACTCCAATATCAATATCTGGAAGTCTCCTCTTTGTGTTGGTCAGTTTCCCTAGGGAAAAAATCTCTAATCTCCTGTCTGGAGAGTATAAGCCTAGATGCCATATCTAGGAAGGGGGATAGGAGTCTTACCCTTCAGCATTTCAACTTTCTCCTAATTCCTGTTTTTGGCCTAACATGTCTTATCCCTACTTTTAGATATACCTCATGAACCTGAGACCAGAGCCTATCTGGTTCAATCTGTCCACAGAATAAACTTCCAGCCTTTTGTGGAGGTAGAAGAGACAGTCACTTGGCTATGCAGACCCAGAAAATGGATCTAGAGGGTCTGACTGCTCCTTTTTTTTTTTTTTTTTTTTTGTAGGAAGGGAGGAAGGGAGGAAAGAAGAAAGGGAGGAAGGGGAGGGGAGGGGAGGGGAGGGGAGGGGAGGGGAGGGGAGGGGAGGGGAGGGGAGGGGAGGGGAGGGGAGGGGAGGGGAGGGGAAGGGAAGAGAGAAAATCAGGCAATGAGAGAGACATTGCTGACCTGGATCTAGAGGTCTACAAGTTGATTTCTTTTTTTCTTTTTTTGAGAGAAGGAAAGAAAAACAAGGAGTGAAGGAGAGTAAGAAAGAGGAAGAAAAAGTGGGAGAGAGAATGGAAACATTGCTTTATTCTAAAAAAAAAAAAATGGGTATATATAATGGCCAATCAATATTTCATTTAAACCTATGGGTAGGTGTGATGTGGTATTGACAAGAATGTATATTTTGTGTATTTGAAGTGGAGAGCTCTATAAATATTTATTAAGTTTATTTGTTCTGGATCTGAGTTCAAGTCCTTGATATTCTTATTAATTTTCTGTCTCATTGAGTCTAAGACTCTATGTATTTGGGTGTTAGGATCGTTAGCTCTTGTTGTTGCATTAATCCTTTTACCACTATATCTTTGTTGCTTTAAAATCTATTTTATCAAATACGAGAATTGCAACTCCTCCTTTTTATTTATTTATTTATTTTCCAACAAGAAGCCATAACTTTATTTATGATAGAAACAGTACAAATTTCAAACCAAGCTGCAGTTACTCCTTTGAGAAACCAAAAAAGTTGCTTTCAGATGGTTACATTGTTAATTCCATAATAGCATTTACAATATCATTACTGTTGTTCTTCAGGGCTCGGACTGCCTTTGCTCTCCACACATTTGCTTGTGACATGACCAATTCTATGTCTTTAACTTCTACACCTGTTTCATCGACCTCTTTCTCTTCACTCTCCTCTTGTACAGTTGGAGTCTGTGTGTTTTCTTGAATGTTTGAGACAGCTTCACCTTGAACTTTGAATTTCTCAGCAGCTGCCAGTTGTGCTTGCTGAGATAAATCCTCGATCTTGGCTTCCCCAAATACTATGTAGATATCCGAAGCAGGGCTCTTGCAGACATCTGGTTTTGTGATGACAAAGAGGATATTCTTAGATTTCCGGATAGTGACTCTAGTAACTCCTGTAACCTGTCGAAGACCCAGTTTGGACATAGCCTTCCGTGCCTTCTTTTCACTTCGACTTTGTTTTGCTTTACTGACAGGTTCTTCATCTATCTCAGCTGCTGCTGCCAGCTGGGCTTGTTGTGTGGTTGCCTGGGTGGAGTCCTGTTCTTCAAGCTCTGGTACTGATTCATCACTATCAGATTCTGTTCCAGATCCTGTCTCAGCCTGGGGCTGTGGCAACTCCTGCTCTGTAGCAGGGACGGTTTCTGTGGCTTCACCGGTCATTTCGTGCAGGGAGCGCGGAATCAAGATGGCGGCAGAAAGAGAGCGAGTGAGAGCGTGACCCACGCCTGTTGCAGAAGGAAGCCTATTTATTTATTTTTGCTCTCCATTTGGTTGGTAAATCTTTCTCCAACGCTTTGTTTTGAGTCTTTGTGTATCCTTGCGTGTGAAATGGGTCTGGATGTAGCATACCGTTGGGTTTTGGCTGTATCTTTTGATTGGGGGATTTAGTCGATTGAAATTTAGGATTACTGCCATTTGATGTTAACTGGCTGTTTTATCCATTCGTTGATGTAAATTCTTCTTTATGTTGATGCTCTTTACTTTTTGGTATATTTTTAGAAAGGCTAATACTGGTTGTTTCTTTCTATGTGTAATGCTTCTTTCAGAAGCTCTTGTAAAGCAGGCCTGGTGGTAATAAAATCTCTGAGTACTTGCTTGTTCATAAAAGATTTTATTTTTCCTTCAGTTGTGAAGCTTAGTTTGGCTGGATATGAAATTCTGGGCTGAAAGTTCTGTTCTTTAAGGATGTTGAATATTGGCCCCCACTCTCTTCTGGCTTGTAGAGTTTCTGCTGAGAGATTTGCTGTACGTCTGATAGGCTTCCCTTTGTAATTAACCTGACCTTTCTCTCTGGCTTCCCTTAGTATTTTCTCCTTCATTTCAATCCTGGTGAATCTAACAATATATGTGCCTTGGGGTTGCTCTTCTTGCGGAATATCTTTGTGATGTTCTCTGTATTACCTGGGGTTGAATATTGCCCTGCTTTGCTAGTTTAGGAAAATTTTCCTGAATAACATCCTGAAGAATATTTTCCAGCTTGGATTCATTTTCTCCGTAGCATTCAGGTACACCAATCATATGTAAATTTGGTCTTTTCACATGGTCCCACATTTCTTGGAGACTTTGCTCATTCCTTTTATCCTTTTTTCTCTAATCTTGTCTTCTCATTTTATTTCATTAAGTTGGACTTCGACCTCTGATATCCTTTCTTCTGCTTGAACAATTCGAGTGTTTAAACCTATGCATACTTCTCGGAGTTCCTGTACTGTATTTTTCAGTTCCATTAATTCACTTATATTCCTCTCTAAGTTGTCTATTCTCAGGATTTCGTCAAACCTTTTTTCAAAGTTCTTAGTTTCTTTACATTGGGCTACAACATGTTCTTTTAACTCAGAAATTTCTATTATCCATCTTCTGAAGCCTGATTCTGTTAATGGGATGCGCTCGTTCTGCATCAAGCCTTGTTCTCTTGTTGGTGAGGAACTGTCATCCTCTTTAGAGGGAGGGGCATTCTGATTTTGAGTATTCTCAGCCTTTTTACGCTGGTTTCTTCCCATCATTGTAAATTTATCCACTTGTTGTCTTTGTAATTACCAATTTTCAAATTAGGTCTCTGAGTGGACGTCCAGGTTGTTAATTCCCAGGGCCAAAATATGAGTGACCCACTGCGCCGGCCAAAACAGCGGCGTTAAGACTGATGGTGCTTTTCTGCCCAGGGAATCTCCAGTCTGGCTTCCTTCTTGAGTCCGTAATAGGCGACTCTGCCTTCCCAGAGCTCCAAACCTTGGTCAGAAGGGGAACCAGTCCTGTTTACTCTGCACCAAGAGCTGCCACACCGAGGTGCCAGCAAAACTGTAGCGCCAGCCACAAGAGTCCCATGTGGCTCCTCCCAATCCTCAGTCAGAAGGGGGACCAGTCCCGTTTACTCTGCACCATGAGCTGCCACACCAAGGTGCCGGCGAAACTGCTATGCCAGCCACAAGAGTCGCGCTGGCAACCCATGTGACTCCTCCACTGGGAATCTTCTGCTCCGCGAGCAACCACATTTTGTCTGAAAGTGTGGCATCCTCTCATTCTCTGTGCTTTAACTGGGAGCTGCAATCCCGAGATGTTAGCGATCAGCCATCTTGGATCATTCCCCTGACTGCTTCTTTTAAGAACTTTATCACTCAGGCTTGTAATTCCAGCGTTTTTGGAGGCTGAGATGGGTGGATCACAAGGTCAGGAGTTTGAAGACCAGCCTGTCAAATAGGGTGAAACCCTGTTTCTACTAAAAAGTACAAAAATTAGCCAGGCATGGTGGTGCACAACTGTAGTCCCAGCTACTCACGAGGCTGAGGCAGGAGAATTGCTCAAACACAGGAGGTGGAGGTTACAGTGAGCTGAGATTGTGCCATTGCACTTCAGCCTGGGCAACAGAGTGAGACTGTATTTAAAAAAAAAAAAAAAAAAAAAGAACTTTACCAATCCTCTTCATTTCATCCTACCTCACAGATACCTTCAGAGGTACCTTCAGGGGCACTTAGGACCTCCAAATTCCTGTCCCTTTCCAGAGTTCTCTGGTGTGAGGCAGCTGGTTTCTTGATGACTAAGCTCTGCAGCCTTGAGTTTCTGCTCTCTGAGGTATACTAAGTCCGTTCTCACTCATTCATTGGCTTTTCAGCTTTTAAAACTTTGTCAATATGTCCTGTCTCCCATCATCTCCTCTCTTATTCACTTTGTTCTTACAGGTTTATACCTCTTATTCCTTTATTGGCATTTTAGTGGGATTTAGGGATGGAGCGAAGATAAATACATGTGTTCAACATACCATGTTTAACGAAAAGCTCTGAAATGATTTCCTTAGTCATTTAATAAACATATTAAGTGCTTGACACTGTACCACTGAGGACAAAGCAATAAATGAAGACATAGTCTCTAATTTCTGCAGTTCACATACAGTCTAGGAAGAATCACAGACAATGCACAAATAACTCCACAGGTGCTGAGATAGAAAGAAGTTCAGGAAGAAACAGGGGTTACAACAGGCAGACTAAAGCTATGTGGACAGAGAGAATAAGAGAAGGTTTCCTGGAGAAAACAGCTACTGGCCTAACACCAATTTTTCTAAAGAAAAATTAAGACGGTTGATTCTGGTGGAACAGCTTACCGACGCTGGATCTGCCTTGCAAAATTGTTGCTAGAAGCTGAGCAGGGAAACTGGACTTCACTGTGCAGTGTAGCATTACGAAAAAGGTCACAGAAGTTCTCAAAGAGCTCCAAAAGCTCATCTGATGTATTCTCAAACACAGCAATCACCTCTGTCGTCACCATATTGTACACCACAAAGAAAGATGCCTGCAAAAGAAGGAAGAGAGAGCTATGGGACAGCAGAGTATAATGTCATGCCTAGGAAACTTATCACTAGGCATGAATTCAAGGCATGAATTTTCCAAAACAAAAACAACAACAACAAAAACAAGCAAACACCTCAGCTTTACCACTAAGGTGGAAACATGGCTCTAAGTGGTTCTGGGAAAAGCAGAAGCAACAGTGGGATTTATCAATTGAGAGCCTCAATGTTGCCAGATTTCCCACTGTATCTGTGCTGCTAGAATCACGGAGAGGGCCAGCATATAAGTATAAAAAGGTTTTAAATTTTCATTTCAAACTGTGCAAATTCAGTATTTTTCTTTCCAAGTGTTTGTCCCCTACTTGCTCCCCAACCCACCCTGAGATAAAAAACACTTTTTAAAACACCAGATTTAATTTTCTTTCCAGCTGAGCAAGTGATTTGCAGCCTGGGGCTGCCTGTTGGCAAATTATTTTCTCTTGTATGTGTACAGTCGAAAGTTAAATTTAGGGGCACTTATTTCCCCTCTTAATATTTCTAACATACAGAGAGGCACCTTAACTACATCGTATTCTAAACTGCTCAGGCAAGTTGTATACAGGCAGGGTACTGCTGAACAAATAAAAAATCAGATAGGCATTTTCCACTTTTTTCTTCATAAATGTTCTTTCAGTCAAGAGCATTTGTAAAATACATTTGAGAGTTATAACAATTAAGATCAGATGGGGAACCTGAAAGCATTCAAATGCCATAGGTGGCAGAGTTACTGCTTTTTCTAACTGGGCCCCTCGGTGGCTAGCCATCTTCCTTTAAATCGCCAGTGCTCTGCTCTGCCTAACAAGGAAGCTCCAAGAACCCCTAATTTTTGTTACAGTGAATGTAGCAGTGTTAATTAACTACAGGCTCATAACAGGACTCTAGAAGTTCTAAGACCACTTGGATTAGTACTTCAGCCTCCTATGATTGAGTTTAAATCTCTATTACCAATTTCTGGGGCCATTTGACCCACCTGTTTTACTAGTAAGTAATCCTTCTCAGAGCTTATATTACATGGCTTTTGCAGTCACCTGCAAATTAAATTTGGGTGTAAATTAAAGAGGCTAGAGGGTAACCTGAGAATAATACTCATAATATTACCGAGGGCCTGTGTTTGGATGTACTTTTTACTTATTAATCTTACCGGAACCTATCAAACTGGGGGAGGAGTGCGGAGGACAACCAGGGCAGAAAGATTAGGTTTAGAGTTACAAACTCTATAAGCAAAACATAGAGCCCTAGTTATGTCTCTCACTACAACTTATTGTAGTTACCAGAAAAAACTAGGTCACCTTTTAGCAAAGAAGAAAAGGATCATCTCAAAGGCAGCAGTCACAGACAACTTATTCCTTCCAAAATAAAAAGGTAATTATAGCTCAAACCTAAATAAAAGATAGATTCATGCCCTTTCTATAGCCCTGCACAATATTTTGATCCTATCAGGGCTTCACCAAAATCTCTCATAATTATATGGATATGGAATTACACAAACATTTATTAGCCTTCCCTCCAAGGCAGACTGGGAAATAACGAACAGGAGGGTTGAAAAGTCAAGGACTTCACTGCAATATCCCATGATACATAAGACGAACCAGATGCTCACCCATGATTGCTCAATGGGTGACTTCATCACTGATAGGGAAGAAAAAAAAACCCACAAAATATGATCTCTAACCATATTACTCCCCTACTTTATTATTTTTTTTTTTTTAGAACACATAAACTACAATTCAGAAGGAAAATGTAAGAAGATATTTTACCACAGGTAGCTGGTGTGAGGTTTTAGGACACGATGCCCTGTACAGAATCTGTTAATGGTAGAATCAGCTACAGGTCAACAAGAAATAGCAAACTCAGCTGACTTTGTGGTTTACTATTTGCTGGTTGTTCTGAATTTCCAAACTAGTGTCTAAGGAGACAATCTGCAAACAGGAGAAGTGGGAGACAAAAGTGTAGAAAGGTAGTTCTCTAATTTGGTCAACACTGAATTAGAGAGCTTTTCAAAGACAAATGCCCAAATTACCCCGAATTTCAACACAGTGTTTCAACCCCTAAATCTTAGCAGTTTTGTGCTCTTTATATCACCTTACTACTTTTTGGGAAATGCTTCTTCCCTCTACTGAAAGAAAGGCATTCTTCCCCGAAACTGAAAAACTTTAAAACTTGCTGTCCTGATGATTCTCCTCGTGGATCATAATTTCAGCTTCCTTTTGATCTCATCACTGCTGTACAACCTATGTCCTAGCATGAGGGCAAGGTCAGGGTAAAGTCACAAAACTGAACTCTGCCACACGAATGCACCTATTAGTTACCTAATAAATAGGACTTTATGGAGAAGTAAATAGACATTAACCACTTAAGGAAGAAAGTAGGGTTACTCAGAAAATTTTCTTTTTGTTTGGTGTACTCATTCTCATTGCCAGAACTAAAACAGCCATACCAATAAGCACAATCTTACAAAATCAAGGCAGGTCATCCACAAGTAGTCCAAACCTTGACCTTGTACCATTTGGACTTCCATCTTATGAGTACTGAAAATGCTCTGCAGAAAGAGTTAGGGCAGTAATCAGTTGATATCTTCCTGTCAGTGACTTCAACTTTAGCTTCCCTTTGTCCAGATAAATACATAGGACCAGAGAAAAATGGAGCTGATTTTTAAGCTTGAGCCCTAGAATGTCGATTCAGACTATGTGAAATGTATACTTCATTTTTTAATTTCATTTATTTATTTATTTTTTTTTTAAAAAAAAGCCCCTAAATTCTATGGCTTCAAGGGAGCATCAGAGAAACGTGAATGCCATTTCTGTACATTTTGTAAAGCAAAACCTAGACTCCCAGCCACGTCCCGGGCACGGCCCCAAGCTGCCCCACTCTGCCTGGCAGCCTCCAGGCGACCCCACTGGGGACCGCCTGCCAGTCCAGGGCGCCCCCAGGCCCCTGCGCACACACCTGTGGGGCTGGGACAGGGCTTTAAGGTGTTTTGTCTTGGCCGCTGGCCCGGTGGCGGAGCACAGAGGCAGGAAGCCCCGTGCCCGAGGCCCAGGCAGCACGGCCCGGGGCTGAGCAGGGCAACACCAGCCAGCCGTCCCGCCTCGGGTTCTGGGTGTCAGGGCACAGCCTCTGGGAGCAGGTGCGTCGAGAAGCACCCGCCTGGCAGGGCCCCCCTGCCCTCGCCAGGGCCAGGCTGGGAAGAGGCTACAGTGGCCGTGCCTGCGGCGCCCAAGCTTTGGTGCAGCATTTTGGTTGGGGTGCCGGCTTCAGCTGCGGCCCCACCCCTGCCTTCCCCTTTGATTTCGAGGAGGCCTGCAGCACACCTCACCTCCGGCAGCAATGCCTTTGATCCTCCCAGGAGGGCCTGGGCAAGATGGCCCCACAGCACCCCTCCAGGCTGGGCCTGCCCTCCCCTCGAGAAAACAGCCTTTGGATCCAGGGAGACAAGATGGACTTTATGACGCTAACGGGGGTGGCCGGCGGGGCCAGGCCTCAGCCGGAGCCCCCAGATCATACTACCGACTTCAGCAAAGAAACAGAGGTGCAGGTGTGGGGGCGGGGCAGGCCTCTGTGTTTTCCTTTTTTGTTTTAAATAGTTGATGCTCTTGGAGGGGAGGAGTAGACACAGGTGTAGGAATTTCGCCAAAGTCTTACGTGAAGGGAGTGACCCACATCCCGGGGTGGCGCTGCCAGCCAAGCCAGGGCGACCCCTGCAGTCTGCGTCCTGGCTTCCAGTCAGGGTCTGGCCCTGGGCTGCTGTGGGTGGGCCCCAAAGGCCTCACACAAGCTCACGCCCCAAGGGGCTGCACGGAGAAGATTCAGGGGGCTGCGTGCGCCCGGTCACTTGTGTCACTGCAGTGATTTTCTCTTTCTCCTCTTGAAGAAGCAGCAGCATTTGGTTTCATCGGGTGACCTCCACCTCTGCAGGAGCCGTAATGGGGGCGTTGGAGTGGCCCGCCATGGGGTCGTCAGCGTTCAGCTCCCCGTTGGTGTTCAGAGCCTGGTTTTTGCTGTGTGGCTGTGCTTTGTCCCAGAGCTGAGCCTGGGAGGGCAGGTCGGTGTGGATAGTGCCGATGGGGGTCAGCAGGGGCTTCCCGGCCCAGTCGTACTCATAGTCGAACACGAAGCCGCTGCAGTCGAAGAGGTCGGTGAAGAGCTTGCGCAGGTAGTCATAGTCCAGCTTCTCGAAGAAGTCCAGGCGCCGCACATAGCGCAGGTATGTGGCCATCTTTTCTGGGAAGTTCTCACACAGCACCTCAATGGGCGTGGCACGTTTGGTGTCCCCGATCTTCTGGTACCGCTCCTTGGGCGTGTCGGCCTTGAGCCCCCCTGCCAGGGGAGGCTGCCCCGCAGGAAGTACATGAACAAGTGGCCCAGCGCCTCCAGGTTGTTGCAGCGGCTCTGCTCCTCACCCAGCTGCGTGTTGATGCTCATGTAGCCCGCCGTGCCGTCAGGCTCTTGTGCTCACAGTACGGGATGTGCTTCTTGGTGTCAGGGTCGATATACTCCTTGGCCAGCCCGAAGCTGATGATGGGGATGATGTACTTCCACTTGGTCCCCGGGCAGCCCACCAGGAAGTTCTCAGCTTCACGTCCCAGTAGATGAAGCTCTTGGTGCGCATGTACTGCATGCGGGTGATCAGCTGGATGGCGATCATCAGCACCGTCTTGAGCGTAAAGGTCCAGTCGCACAGGTTGAACAGGTCCTCCAGGCTGGGCCCAGCAGCTCCAGCACCATGGCGTTGTACTTCCCAAGGGGCTGAAGTAGTAGACCTGAGGGACGCCCTCTGTGGCACTGAGCTGCTTGTAGAACCGGTACTCCAGGTGCAGCTGTGGGGCCCGCGACTTGATCGGCTCCAATTTGATAGCCACGCATTCATTTGTATGAAGATTCTTTCCTAGGCGGAGCTCCCGGAAGTTGCCACAGCTGATCTTCTTGCCGACGCGGCAGTTGGGGCCCACCATCAGGACCCTCGAGCTGGTACCCGAGCTCCGGATGCCGTGGCTGCTCCAGCCCTCTCCAGCCTTGGACATTCTCCGGCCCTCCTTCATGTCCCGTTTCCCTCCTTTCTTGTCAAAATCCATCAGTTTGTGGTACCCCCGCCTCTCCACGGTGACTCTGCTGCCGCACAAATCCCAAGTCTGTGGAAACCCGAGGTCCTGGATCCTCTGAGGCTAGAACATCCTGGCGGCCGGCAGGCGGGCGGGGCCGCAGCTCCCGACCACTGAGACGCAGGCTCTTGGGCCGGCCAGGCCGCGGTGCTCATCTTGGTGGCCTCCGAGTCGCTCTAGGGGGCAGGAGACATTCTGCTGACAGGTCCCACTGCCTCAAAGCCCACGGTTCACAGCTTGGCTCCGCTGTGGCCGGGCCCGTGGGCAGCGTCTGGGCGGCCGGCCCGGGCTCAGCAGCGCGGCGAGGACCCCGGCTCCGGGCCCGCACGCACTGGCACACCGGCTCCCGCGCCGCCTGGGCCAGCCTCCGCAAGTTCAGGGTGGGAGGCGCCGGGCTCGCCGCGCACCACAGTGCCCGCTTCGGGTCCCGCGCACCTTACGCCATCAGCGTCGGCCAGCGGGGGCCCTTTTTTTTTTTTTGAGACAGAATCTTGCTCGGTAGCCCAGGCTGGAGTGCAGTGGCGCGATCTCGGCTCACTGCAACCACCGCCTCCTGGATTCAAGCGATTCTCCTGCCTCAGCCTCCCAAGTAGCTGGGATTACAGGTATGTACTACTGCACCTGGCTAATTTTTCTATACTTAGTAGAGATGGGGTTTCACCATGTTGGACAGGCTGGTCTCAAACTCCTGACCTTGTGATCCGCCCACCATGACATCCAAAGTACTGGGATTACAGGCATGATCCACCATGCCCTGCCATGAAATGTCTATGTCTGAGGGGTGGGCTATAAGCGAACAAAGAAATCTTTCCATTTTGCCAAGGAAATTGGACAAGTAAAAGGCAGGAGTGCACCTCATACCTGTGATGGGTCTGTGACTCGCAGTGTTACTACATCCTCACTAGTGTACTTGATAAACAGATGGTTTTCATCCAGAAGCTGCATTTTCCACATGCGCAGCTGGCGCAGTTGGTCAAAATACTGGAAGAAGCGCCTCTTGGCCATTGCGCTACCATCCTGTTCTGCCCGGCGCCACAAATACACCAGCAACCGGTGTTTGAGGGAGTTGATGAAAGGATCCCTAAAGGGATTGGCCATGCCTGTCTGACTGTCCCGCTGTACCTCAGGGAAAACAGCTGACACAGTGAGCAGGTCATCCTCATAGCAAAAGCGACCAATGGTCCGCACATCAATGAAAGTGCCTTCAGGAGTCACCTGGAAGACATGGATGGTCTGTTGTTGCACGGACAAGATAGCCAGGATGTTTTTGTACAAGTATAGCCCTTGGTTGTGTGACAAGACCACCTTATCACACTTGAATGTGCGTGTATCACATAAACGGCCAGTGTGAAGGTCAATGATGTGCAGGGAATAGTCTTCTAGAGGGGACCGTGGGTTGGGGGTCACTGATTCACTGTTCCGATATACCTCAAAAAATGGAGGGTGAGGCTCATCCGGGAGGTAAGCAGCTGAGCCCACGATGACACACCGGCAGTCATCAGTGAAGAGACTACACTCCCGGTTCAGGTGCTCACCATTGGCTGCAACATTGGTAATGTGTAGCAGGACAAAAAAGCGTTCAAAGAGCCGGCCCCGGATATTGACTGAACGCTGGTCATTGCCATTGGACAGGATTTCTCCTTCGTATCCCTGCAGTAGGTCCTCTGCTGCCTGGCAGCCCTGGTACTCATAGATTTCAAGAGATGTCTGGTCTGAAGAAAAAGCAATAAAGTAGCGTCCATCAGGTGAAAATTTACGCAAGAAACAAGGAGGCTTTTCAACGTTGACAACTGTGAAGTTGGGGAAGACATTCTGATGGAACACTCGGACTTGGTGCCAGTGGGTACCTGCCTTGCCTGAACTGATCCGCCGCCGTTCCAAGCGGTGAATGACATTTTGGTTTTGGATTCTTCGAGGTTTGATGGTGGAAACATGATGATCCATTATCACATCTCTACATGGAAAAGTAAAGTAGAAGTCAAGAAAATGAAACAAAATTTACCAAAACATAAATATATACAAGTCAAACAGATTTTCCTTCTTATATCCTGAAACTAGGAGCTCCCAAGATAACAGTGAGTGGCATTACTGCTTCACAGATTATAGTGAGTAAGTGGTGCTAACATTTCTAAGCCTAGAAACAGATTTACGGAAAGGATCTAGTGTTCACTAGGATACCTTCCAAGTATGCTCAGCTGTTGGGAATGTTCAACAGAAAAAAACCTACAACTGCGAATTTAAACAGTATGAGATGCATTCTGCCAGGCACAGTGGCTCACGCCTGTAATCCCAGCACTCTGGGAAACGGAGATAAATGGATCGCTTGAGCTCAGTAGTTCAAAGCCAGCCTGCACAACATGGCAAAAGCCTGTCTCTACAAAAAAAAAAAAAAAAATTGCAGACCCTCAGCTTCGCCCACCGCTTCCCGACCATGGACCCCCGCAAAGTGAACAAGCTTCGGGCCTTTGTGAAGATGTGTAAGCAGGATCCAAGCATTCTGCACACCAAGGAAATATGCTTCCTGAGGGAGTGGGTGGAGAGTATGGGGGGTAAAATACCACCTGCTATTCAGAAAGCTAAATCAGAAGAAAATGCCAAGGAAGAAAAACCTGATGGTAAGAAGGTCGAGGAAGACTTAAAGGCAGACAAACCATCAAGTGAGGAAAGTGATCTAGAAATTGATAATGAAGGTGTGATTGAACCAGACACTGACACCCCTCAAGAAATGGGAGATGAAAATGCAGAGATAACAGAGGAGATGATGAATCAGGCAAATGATAAGAAAGTGGCTGCTATTGAAGCCCTAAATGATGGTGAATTACAGAAAGCCATTGACTTATTCACAGATGCCATCAAGCTAAATCCTCACTTGGCCATTTTGTATGCCAAGAGGGCCAGTGTCTTCGTCAAATTACAGAAGCCAAATGCTGCCATCCAAGACTGTGACAGAGCCATTAAAATAAATCCTGATTCAGCTCAACCTTACAAGTGGCAAGGGAAAGCACACAGACTTCTAGGCCACTGGGAAGAAGCAGCCCATGATCTTGCCCTTGCCTGTAAATTGGATTATGATGAAGATGCGAGTGCAATGCCGAAAGAAGTTCAACCTAGGGCACAGAAAATTGCAGAACATCAGAGAAAGGATGAGGGAAAACGTGAAGAGCGAGAGATCAAAGAAAGAACAGAAAGAGTTAAGAAGGCTCAAGAAGAGCATGAGAGAGCCCAGAGGGAGGAAGAAGCTAGACAACAGTCAGGAGCTCAGTATGGCTCTTTTCCAGGTGGCTTTCCTGGGGGAATGCCTGGTGGTTTCCCGGAGGAATGCCTGGAATGGGAGGGGGCATGCCTGGAATGGCCGAAATGCCTGGACTCAATGAAATTCTTAGTGATCCAGAGGTTCTTGCAGCCATGCAGGATCCAGAAGTTATGGTGGCCTTCCAGGATGTGGCTCAGAACCCAGCAAATACGTCAAAATACCAGAGCAACCCAAAGGTTATGAATCTTATCAGGAAATTGTCAGCCAAATGTTGAGGTCAAGCATAATGCCCTTCTGATAAAAAAAGCCTTTGCCGAAGGAAAAGCAACCTAGATCACCTTATGGATGTCGCAATAATACAAACCACTGTACCTCTGACCTTCTCATCAAGAGAGCTGGGGTGCTTTGAAGATAATCCCTATTCCTCTCCCCAAATGCAGCTGAAGCATTTTACAGTGGTTTGCCATTAGGGTATTCATTCAGTTAATGTTTTCCTACTAGGAATTACAAACTTTAAACACTTTTTAACTTTAAAAATATTTAAAGGGTCTGTTAATGCTTATATTTTTCTTTACTAATCATTTTGCATTTTTTTCTTTGAATTATTGGGCAGGGAGAATACTTAATGTATAGAAGATTTTACTCTAATTCGAGTGAAATAAAAGTTTATAGTGTGAGGCAAACATAACTCATTTGAGGATAGTTTGTGTTGGATATGTGGTTCCTGAAGTATTTTGACTTGTCTTTTTAAATGCTTTATCATTTTCTTTAAAGATTTATTTTGATAAAACTAATTGGGACCACCAGTATTTCAGTAGGACCTGGGTAGAGACTGGAAGTATTTGGCAGGGCAGCAGCAATCTTGCTGTGTTTTATATAACATGCATCCTTGGGCAAGCTTTCCTTAAATCTTACACTGTGGTGAAGGGATGATGTTTTTGTAATGCTACAGTAGAGTTGGAGTACTTAGTTCTGTTCTTGTCTAGTATATCTAATAAATGTATCATATTATTTCCACACAAAAAAAATTTTAAAAATAAATAAATAATTGCCATGCATGGTGGCACATGCCTGTAGTTCCAGCTGCCTGAGAGGCTGAGGTGGAAGGACTGCTTAAGCTCAGGACTTCAAAGCTGCAGTAAGCCATAATCACAACACTGCACTCCAGCCTGGGCAACAGAGTGAGACTCCGTCTCAAACAACAACAGAAAAGCATATTCACTGTACATTAATTCCAACAAAAAAATATTTATTGGGCTGTTACAATGTCCATATTACCCAAAATAATCTACAGATTCAATGCAAACCCTATCAAAATCCTAATAGCACTTTTTACAAAGACAAAAAATTCATCTTAAAATTCACAGGGTATCTCAAGGGCCTCCAAATACCCAAAATAATTTTGAAAAAGAACAAAGAAGACTCAAGCTGCCTGATTTCAAAATATATTACAAAACCACAGTAGTCAAAAAATGGTGGTTCCGGCATAAAGACAAATACAGACCAGTGAAATAAACAGCCCACATATAAACTCCGGCATATATGGTTAAACAGTCTTTGGTAAGGTACTAATACTACTCAATAGAAAAAAACAGTCACTTCAACAAATGGTGTTGGGAAAACTGAATAGCAACATGCAAAGCAAAAGAATGAAATTGGACCCTATCTTACACCCTATACAAAAATTAACCCAAAATAGGTTAAGGACCTAAATATAAGACCCGTAACTATAAAACTACTAGAAGAAAATATAAGGAAAGCTTTATGACATCAGACTTGGCGATGATTTCTTGGATACGACACAAAAGGCATAGGCAACCAAGACAAAAAGAGACAAATGGGAATATATCAAACTTAAAACTTTTGTAATTAAAGGACACAAGCAATAGAGTGAAAAGGCTTTCTACAGAATGGAGGAAAATATCTGCAAATCATATACTGGATAAAGGGTTAATATCTAGAACATATAAAGAACTCCTACAACTCAACAATGAAAAATCATATATCCAATTTTAAAATGGTCAAAGTACTTGAATAGACATTTTCCCCTATACAAATGGCCAAGAAGCATATGAAAAGATAAGATATTCAATATCACTAATCATCAGAGAAATGCAAATCAGAACTACAATGGGATATCACCTCACATTCATTAGAATGACGACTTTTTTTAAAAAAGAAAATAACAAGTATCATGGATGGAGAGATAGGGGAACCCTTGTATATTGTTGGTGGAACTGAAAAACAGCACAGCTACTAAGGAAAACAGTATGAAGTTTCCTCGAAAAAAATGAGAACTACCATATTATCCAGTGATTCCACTTCTGGGTATAAATCCAAAATAACTGACAGCAGGATTTCTAAGAGATATTTGCACACCCATGTTCATATCAGCACTATTCACAGTAGTCAAGAGATGAAAGCAACCCAAAGTTCATTGATGGATGAATGGATAAACCAAATGTGGTATATACATAAAATGGAATATTATTCAGCCTTAAAAAGGAAGGAAATTCTGACATATGCTACATCGTTGAAACTTGAGGACATTATGTGAAGTCAAATAAGCCAATCGCAAAAAGACAAATATTTCATGATTCCATTTAAAGGAAGTATCAAAAGTAATCAGCCAGGTGCAATAGCACACACCTATAATCCCAGCTGCTTGGGAGGCTGAGGTGGATCACTTGAGCCCAGGAGTTTGAGTCTAGCTTGGGTAACAGAGCAAGACCCAATCTCTAAAAAATAAAATTTTTAATTCAAAATGCTTATCATTAAAAAAAGAAAAAGGAATCAAATTCACAGAAACAGAAAGAAGAATGGTGGTTACCAGGGAATAGCAGGAGGGGAAAAGGGAAGGTGCTGTTAAATGGGTTAGACTTTCAGATTTTCAAGATGAAAAAGTTCTTGAGATCTATTTCACAACAATGTGAATATACTTAATACTACTGAACTGTACACTTACAAATGGTTAGATGGTAAATGTTATGCTATTTTAAAATTACAATGAAAATAAGTTTAAATATTTATGGGGCATCTATTATATGGCATAGTTTTCTAAATGTTTTATTATACCTGATTCAAATCAAAGTTAAATCACAGGCCATAAAAGTCAATGGTATTCAGTGAAAATTTTAAGTTATAAATCTGTTGTGAGATAAGACAGAATAAGCAAATGCCACCTTCTCTCTTCCACTAAAAATGCAGCTATAAAACCTATAGAGAATGCATAAGACAGACATAAGAAAAAAAAACAATTGGCTCAAAAGAAAGTACCACTGAATGGACAGTGAGGTTAACACTGTCTCTCCTGGTCCTCCTGCTGCTTGGAGATTAAGTATGTTGCAAGAAAAGGTAATTAAAGCCCCATTTTGTCATCAGAGGATCAAAAGGGAAAGCCCAATGGAACCAGAAGGTACTGGGGTGATCTCAGAGGGAGATAAGCCAGAAAAGTTAACATCATGAAGTTGTTTATCAACTCCCAAGTTGGCTCCCAAGCTACACACTTGTAGATCAGGTCCAAACCATACTAAAGGCTTTGAGAACTGAAATCACCACCATCTAGATCTCAGACTGGCCTCTCACATGGGACAGATCCTAATAACAATGCAAAGACTTTTCAAAAATTCATCTGCCATTAGAATCATAGCCTGAGGAAAGAGCGTTGCAAATTGCAAATTTCCTAAAGCTAATTAGGAAGA